ACTGTAAAAGTATTGTTTATTGTTAGTTCATGATACATAATGCATTAACTGTAACTAACAAATTTGACCTTATTCACTAATCCTAAAAACTGTGGTAAAGGATCTGCAACATGATATAAAAAATGCCATTGTTCAATAAATAGTTGCATTTAAAAATAATAATTTCACTGATTGCATCATAATATCCATAATTAAAACTAAAAATCGTTTTCTTCAATTGAAAAAGAAGAAGAAGCTAAAACCATAAATATTAGATGACAAACATTGGGGGGGAAAAAAGTTTAAATCTTGCCTTGGCTATTAACTGAAATAAAATGACTAAAACTGAAATAAAAATAAATTAAAGCTGAATAGAACTATTTAAAATACAAAACTACTAAAAATGACAAAATATACAAATAAAAGCCAATTCAAAGTATAAATAAATACTACAATAGTATATAAATGATACTAAAATAACACTGCCATGCAGTAATGTAGCCCTTTAGCTTAACTGTAGGCCAGCGGCCACAGGTGTGCATTTATCGCCATTTTATGATGCAGCTCATACAACCAGAACTAGCTGTTTTATGATGCAGCATGAATACTTGGACCGGCAACGTACACAGCCGATCTCAGGCTGTGCTCCACCAGTGCGCTCTCTTGTTCTTGCTGGCCCAAACCCACTTACATTCATCATAAAGGGTGACTTCATCAGCAAAGAGCTGAAGGAACAGTGCTGTTTCTTTTCTATTCTTTGGGTGGCAGCCAAAACTCTTACATTCAGGCAAGCAGGTGCTTTTCTTTCAGCTTTACTGTGGTAGACCACAATACGAAACTGGTCTTTAGGTTGACTAAAGGTTTCTTCAGCCCACACCGCTATACGTTGTTGTTTTCCTATTCCTATCTCAGGAACTTGGTTGCTAAACCTTAAAATCGTTCCTCCTGCAGCTGAACCAGTGCTGTGTGAGGGGCCTGGTCCTCTCATCGAAGAGGAATATGAGAAAAATCAAGCTAACAAAGAAATGAAGAAACAGCTTTGCCCGTACGCCGCCGTTGGCGAATGTCGCTACGGCCTAAACTGCGCCTACCTCCATGGTGACGTGTGCGACATGTGTGGCCTACAGGTGCTACACCCTTCAGACACTTCCCAGCGCTCGCAACACATCAAGGTGAGTCGTGGATTGACATCCTGTTTTCATCCTCTTTTTGTTTTCTGAGATTTTAGAGTAAAATCTCCTCTTAACGGCAGGCCTGCATCGAGGCTCATGAGAAGGACATGGAAATCTCATTTGCCATCCAGCGTAGTAAGGACATGATGTGTGGCGTGTGCATGGAGGTGGTGTTCGAGAAAACCAACCCCAGCGAACGGCGTTTTGGCATCCTCTCCAACTGCAGCCACTGCTACTGCCTCAAGTGCATCAGGAAATGGCGGAGCGCCAAGCAGTTCGAGAGCAAAATCATAAAGTAAGACTGTCCTTAAGATAATTAAATGTGTATTAAGTTGAATAGGATTCTAGGGAGGTGATCTTAAATCGTTTGTAATTTTACGGTTATTATCGCTAATTGTAATTGTCCACCTCTTCTTTTAAGGACTAGTGTAAAAGGGAGAATCAAATTTATGTTGAATGAATATGTTCTCCGTCAGGTCCTGCCCAGAGTGTCGAATCACATCGAACTTTGTCATACCAAGCGAATACTGGGTGGAGGACAAGGATGAGAAGCAGCAACTCATTCAGAAGTACAAGGATGGCATGGGGTACAATTTTACATTTCTGATACAAGTTTACTGCTTTAAATAATAGTTCACCCCATCAAATGTAAATTCTGTCATATACTCCCTTTTTGAAGAATATCTTTGCCACTTTTGTCCATATAATGAAAATAAAGGTGGCCGGGACTGTGAAAAAAGAAAAAATATGCACCATAAATGTTTTTTTCCCACGACTAGTGTGCTATATTCCAGTTCTTCTGAAGTCATACAATAGCTTTGTGTGGTAAATATACCAAAATTTAAGTCATTATTTACTAAAAATCTTCCTCTCCACTGTAGCTCTCAAATATAGCTGCAATAAACTCGTCAAATTTGACATTTAGTCATGATCAATCCAAGAAGCGTTTGGCTTCAATGGTGTTAAATGGCAATGTAGTGCCATTTTTGAAGTCCATACAGATTTTGTAGTCCTTTAGTTGAGGCGAGGGTAACATTAAAGTGAGTAAATGACAGAATTTTTGGCTGATGTGTCATTTTAAAGCCGAAGCATTGTTGTAAAAAAAAGAAGCAGTTTTGTGATCTAATTGTTTAGCTAATTAGTTTTATCCATATTGGCACCCAGGAGTAAATCTTGCCGATATTTCGATGAAGGCCGTGGGACCTGTCCGTTTGGAGCCAACTGCTTTTACAAACATGCTTTTCCTGATGGCCGTCTGGAAGAGCCTCAACCCCAGAGGAGACAGACCGGCTCCAATGGAAGAAACCGGGTAAAGCTTAGGGCTATTTTGTCTCGATGTTAATCCCAAACTGCAAATTTCACTTTGGCTTGCGTGAAAGCATATTGAATTTACTTAATGATGTGCAACAAATTTGATCATTGGCATTATTGAAATCTGTATTGCAGAGCTCCAGACGGACGCCACTCTGGGATCTTTTCGACGAGCGGGAGAACAGCGACTCCTTCGACAACGAAGACGAGGAGATGGTGACGTTCGAGCTCAGCGAGATGCTCCTTATGCTTCTGGCTGCCGGAACCGACGATGACGTCACCGACTCCGAAGATGGTGGGACTTGTTCCACGAAGAGCTGGACGATACTATTGAGCTGTACCTATAGCAGCGCCTCCCATCCTCGCTAACTCTCTCCTACTAACCCTCGTCCCAATTTACTCTACTTCTATCACTGTTAGAAACTAGACAGGACTGTTTTGTTGTGACTGATGGGCAGTAGCGTCTTTTTTCCCCTGTGTTGTGGCAGTGCCTTTCAGCAGGCCATTAAAAACAATGAATTCATTTCAAATACAATAAATGAATATCAAACACACGTCAAAAGACAAAAAAATAGCTCTTGTGCTAAAATATTTTCTAGAAAGCCTTCTCCATTCTGTGAGTCTGTTCATGTCTGGTTAATGTACTAGAATAAGTATAAAGAGCAAAAACAAAAGTAATTTAAAAAATTGCAAGAAAGGACACTAAGTTATATATGAAATTGGAAAGATATAGCTCACAAACCTTGCCTGAGTTTATCTCGAGTGTAGGTTTGACATGTTTATCATTGACTGTGAGGATACAGCAACTGTGTATGACTTCACTAACTGGTGGCTGTTAATGCTTCTGATATTTTTGAAATATCTCTCTTCTCATGCACTGATTCTGAATGGGTGGGAGGTGGTGGTGGCGGTGAGCTTCCTGGATTTCACAAATGCACTCGTCAGCGTTCACGCGGACAACTCGTAACATTTATCCTTATGTAATGTCCTTTTGTTTCACTCTATTAAATTATCCACTGAGTTTTTTTTGTACCTGTTATTAAACTGTACCTGATTAGCTGTGGTATCCCATGGGTGGTCCCTATGAACTGAGTGTGCCGAAATTTTGTGAATCTGGACTCCCAAATGCCGACTTAAATGCATTCAAATATGAAGCTGAATGTTCATCAGTTTAACTGTCTATTAATTGTAAATCTGTTTTGCTTCAGTGAGTATTGCATATTAAGCTCAGCTGGCAGTAGCCAAACCACAAACACCCAATTGTTATTCGGTTCTTGTCGAACTTGGTTGATATGCATATGTTTATACAGAAATGTGCTTGTTTTCTATGGTTCAGAACCATCCAATGTAACTTGAAATTAAAGTTTATTATCAAAGTATTATTATTCGGTGGATTTTTATTTTAATTGTATCACTGACGGTTTGTAGTTAAATTCAGGTGGTGTTTGGTAAATGAGACTAGACCGCTATCGCGGTATGTTATTTAGCAGTTATGCTCTGGGTTTATTGAAAGTTGAATATGGGTTAAAAAAAAGTTCTGGTCTAAAGTATATTTTTAGAATTAAGAATATACCGAAAACAACCTTTTAGGAAAAGTTAAATCTTAACATAATTTTCAAAGAACATCAGTAATCAGAATACAGCTCCTATGCCATAATTTAACTAAAGCTACAGCACTTTTTTTTAACATGAAACAATGCTCTGACTCTTCCACAATAATAACTCGGATAAATAATGGATAAAATTCATACTAGGCTTCTGATGTCCAACATCAGGCTTCTGTGAGTGATCATGCTTGAATGCACATCATCAGACAAATGTGACTGTTATAAAAGAACCGCTTTGGAGAGGCCATTTGCATTTGACTTATTTTGCATTCTTATGGAAGCTGCTTTGTGAAAAAGCACATCATATATCATCGACATTAACCTTAGTTTAGAAAAAATCCAAGGCACTCTTCTTTAAAATTATTTTAAAAGCCTTTATTTACTGGCTATTTCATGATAGAAAATTAAAAGACATAAGGAGAAGCAATTGCTTCAATTTTCTATGAATTCTCTGAATTCTTAATCCGGCCCTGCTTTCTACATGTTTGTTTAAGAAATGAAAAGCTACACACTCCATTGATTAAGGGTTATGATGCCAAACATATAACATGCTAGAAACATAGCCTAAGCACTGCAATAATGATCCAGTCATAGATTCTTAAGCATTTGCCAATTTAAATCCAAATAGTGTTTTTTGGTAGGGCTGTGTATTAAATGGTTGTTTTTGGTGAAATCTATATTACGAAATTGACCTTATTACTATAAAAAACAACATTCTGGGTTTTTTTTTTTCTTTATAAAAATTTAAAATATATATTTAAATGCAGTAGCCTACTATAATTTTAAACGTGGATATGAGATGTTTAAACATTAATTAATGTTTTCAATGAACATCAGCGTCATTTTATTCATTATTCATTTTAGTTCATATTTTATCAGTTTTATTTGGAGGGATCGGGTAAGTGCACTCCAATCCAACGGAATTCCATAACGGGATTTCCTCCTCTGCCCCCCTTGAGCGGCTATCATTACACTAGCACAGCCAAAACAAGTCGGGAGGAGAAGGAATGAATACAATGACTGCTGAAATCATAAAAGACATCTCCCAGCCCGACTCACCTGTCTCCTCCGCACCAGAAAACGGACAGCTGCTGTTCATCCGAAGCGTCACGTCCAGGAGAGACACGCAGACCACCAGCGGCAGTGCCAACCTCGAGGAGGGCAGCTCCCAGCCCCTGGTCTCCTCTGCCACCGCTCAGCCTCAGTCTTACACCATGACATCGAGCGAATTCATGCAGTCCACCCCTCTGTTCGTGCAGAGGTCTAAGAAAAACCTGTTTTATAAGCTCGTGTGCTTCCTCGTGCTCGTTCTCCAAGGGGGCATGTTGGATTTCTACCTCATCGTCTTCACGGATCTCTACTGGTGCTCGTGGATAGCCACGGATTTGGTGGTTATATCGGGATGGGCGATCTTCTTCATTAAAAACGCCAGGAGTAAGCGAGAACGAGCCTGTGGTTTCCACCAGAAGAGCTCCATCTTCGGGTGCAACCTCGGAGAGTTCACCTTCGCGTACTTAGCATGGCTCATCTACGTGATCGCGTCCACCCCGAAAGTGGTGCTCGTTCTGGAAACGTCCATCCTGGATCTTATTGCCCTGAAGGTGCCATTTGGCATCACTGGGTTCAAAATAACCATGTTGCTCTGCGCGCCTTTGCTTTACTGCCTCATCAACTCCATCATTGAAGACCCTAACGGTGCCACGCGCTTTCACTCCCAGGGCTCCTTCATGAGCACCTGTTTAGACATCCTGGACAGCTTCACTCTGGTCGAACTGGTCCTTAAAAACGAAATCGCCAACATATACCTTAGGTACACGGTCATATCCGTGTATTTCATCGCATTGGGCGTTCCGGTTATTTGGCTTTACGAGTTGACGGCCTCGGAAATGAACTGTCGCTGGATATGGGCGAGGTTCTTCACCGGCGTTCTGCTCAATGCACCGCTGTTGGTGGTCAGATGTTTCCTCGTCTTTGTTTACAAAATGCCCATATCGGTTTTCATGTTCAAGAACATCTTCTTCCTGGGGTGTAAGTGCCTGGAGCTGGTTGAGCAGTGCGTGTCCTTACGAGGTGTCCGGAGGTTTGCACGTGGACGTGGGGGTAACACAGCCCAGTTCTCCCATTGCGTTTCCGAAAACGACATGTGTCCCCATGGTTATGTGAACACGCTAGCTGTCAATACTCAGTCGTAGATGCTCATTAAGGACTAACGCTGACCTGAGGCCACGTCCAACAACAGTGTGCATCAGCCCTTTTGAGGGGAGGTACTGCAGGTGCTAACGTCCTTTCTTATTATTTAAAATTAAATAAAACTTAACCAATAAATAAAATGTACTTTGACTACCTTTTTGTAAAAGTGCAATTATGAGGTGTTTTAACAGTACAGTAACCACAAAATGATAGCAAATACGCTCTCGCGAACGGAAGTAACCATAGCAACAGTCAGCGGCGAGCGTTTAAATAGATACAACTACTTTCGCTGTTTATCAGTCTATTTTATAATTAAAAATAACAAATAAATAATAAATAAATATTTGTTAATTGGGCCGAAAATTGCTGAGAAAAAATCCTTTAACAAATCTGCTCCCCGCAGGTAACGGAACAATTCGCTCCCTGGCCCTTTACGTTTTTGATGAATATGCAAATTAACGTTACTCGTCATCTTATTACATTTTCACAGGTGTGCAAAATATAGGCCTAACAAGTGAAACTAAACACAGAAACAGTTTTAGGCTAATTAACTCATTTGTCGTCCATTGTCTCACTCTTTTGTTAAAAGGCTTTAAAAACAACAAACACACTCAATATCATATAGGAAGCAAAAGTAGGATTCTGCACAAATCCTGAAATATTTTGTTTAGCTTTGCATGCAAAATGCCATTTGTGTCAGACATTCCCCAAAAAAACAGCTAACTGATCGTACATTATTTGCATTGTATAGATGATAGGCCTATAAAAGAAAATAAAAATATGTTTATAAACATGTTAGCTAGTATTTGAGATGTTTTGGGAAAATTGTGCCGAATCCAAAAGACAAATACAACCTAAATCCACATTTATGCCCGCAGTACCTCTCCTTAAAGGGATAGTTCACCCAAAAATTAAAATGTTGTCATTTACTCACCCTTGTGTTGTTCCAAACCTGTATGAGTTTCTCTCTTCAGTTGAACACAAAAGAAGATGTTGGTAATCAAACAGTTTAGGTTGACGATAGCCATGGACTACTGTCCACTGTAATGCCAACATTCTTTAAAATATCTTTTGTGTTTAACAGAAGAAAGAAACTCATTCAGGTTTGGAAAAACTTGATGAGTAAATGATGACAAAATGTTCATTTTTGGGTGAACTATCCCTTCTCCTTCACTCTCAACAGGTGCTACAACCAAACCACTCAACGTGCCAATGAAAAACATTCCCACCTGTGACCTCTGCAGTATATACCTAATGTATTGGGATGTGACTGTAAACCAGTGCTTATATGATGATACGAGAATCTTTGATTTGCACTTGTTTTGTGAGGCACTTTAATTACGTGAGGACTATTCAACTGAGGAAAGTGCAATGTTGTATAATTTATTTTCTATGTAAAAATGTCCTCAATTTAGTAGGCTATAATGTAGACAGATGTTTATAGTGTTTTCAGACACCTTGTCAAGAGATGTTCCTAAATGCACTTATCAAAAGTGTAAATATGCCTTGTGACTTGTTAGGCTTGGTGTACACTTCAAATTGTGAATGTGATGTAGTCCTTTCCTATTTGAAATACTGTGTCAGTGGCAATGGTACTTTGGACTGGAAACTGCCAAACGGCGTATGATACAAATTCGTGATGTTCCTTAATGTTAATAGGCTAAGCATAGAATCTATGAGGATAACTGTAAACCATCTTTAATGACCAAACTCCATTGCTGCTCCCAACCAGCCATATTGCCATCATCAGTTTTTACAAGGCTACCTCTTTACAGAACCTCATGTTTGAAATCATGAACCAGTTGGTTTATCTGCTCAATTCCAGATGCTATTTTATTCATGCCAGTAAATGAGGTATGATTATCACAATTAATAACATTTGGACCAGCCAAGACAATTGTGATAGCGCTGATAGACAGATTGCGAGAGGACACAATCCATTAATCTACATGCAGTGCATCTGTGTCTAAATGAGATTCCAGACATGTATATTTCAAAGCTCTTTACCAGGAACCTGAACAAATATGTCAAAGCCAAATCAATTGCTTAATATCCTAATCTCAGTCAAATTTTCCACCTTAAATGGACACAGTCCACACAAAAATAATAATTTACTCACCCTCATGTCATTTCAAACCTGCAAGACTTACTTTCTTCTGTGGAACACAAACAATATATTTTGAACAATGTTTTTGTGCATATAATGGAAGACAATGGGGTCCAAAACAATGTTTGTTTGGACCCCATTGACCTTCATTGTATGGACAACAATTGTTTTTTCTAAATATCTTCTGAGTTTAGAGTGACCTGAGGGTGAGTAAATTATATTTGTCACATAATACTCATTTTAGGGTGAATTATCAACAGTTTGGTTGAACAGTGAGAAGAAAACACTTTTAGTTAAAACAGCAGAGTATTTTATATTCTAGTGTAACATGTAATTAATAACAATTGTGCATCCTTATTCTAACATATTATTACTCTTGTGCTTTGAGGATTGGGGTACAGGGTGAGCTAAACGTGTTAAATATGCAGGCCGAAAGTGCATTATGGGTTTTTTTGTGCCTCATTGCGCAGTATTTAACCTGACAAATATATACCACTGCATACTACGCATGTTTTTTAAACTACAGGTTTTAGAGTATGTACATATTACATAACCTTTTTTGACGGGGAAATCGACTTCCAACCCCACCTCTCTCTATTGATCCACAATGTTTTACAGAGGATTTTCTTGCAAGGGCTTTATTTTGCAAGTTAAGTTACTGTTATGTTTACATAAGACATTATTGCACTGTAACAGCTGCAAGGGTCTGGAAGTATCCTGGTTAAATTGGTTAAAAAGTAATTTGAGGTCCAAAGTCGGATAAAATTTGAAGCAAATAAAGTGATTCTTTATCTAAATTATAGTTAAAAGCACACAACAGATAATTACCAAAGACATCTACTCATAAACAATTATATACAAACTTCCATAGTAGATGGTTATAGCTGTTAAACTGGAATAAACTATTAAAAAAAGAAACTAGTGCAATATAATACAACGAAACATTTCGTCTGAGCAATTAATATGAAAAACAGGACAAATGTATCATTGCAAGCCCAACCAAATGACTTAGACTTGTGTTCAGTAGCTAAACATAACCTTAATCATGTGCTGTGCTGTTCTATATCAAGGTACTTGTTCTGCTCCACAGTAAAAGTGAACAAATCACACCTTTGTGTTCGTGTCTAATAATTTGTTATTGATGAAACATTTATAAAACAGCTGATCACTGAACTCATTATCCATCTAGCCTATTTCCTATTGACCTTCCGTTCAAATATTTTAGGAGTGACGACCAACCATAGACAGTTCAAGAACTTTCTGGCACACAACAAATCAGAAAACAGCCAAAAGACAATGAAGAAATTCAGATCTCCATTGTTTTGTTGCAGAAATTTGAAGAGATGGGGCTGTTCAGGAAAAGTTCCATTTGTAACTTGGCTAGAGAGGAAAGGTCTTCCTGAACCTTGGGGTCTTCTCTCACTGTGGAATACCTGGAACCGTATCCCTGATCGGACCCTCGTGATGGTCTCGTCTCAGAAGCTCCCTCCATTTCACTTTCCTCCATCTCCATTGGCTGGGACATCTCTCCATATAAATGGAAGCTGTCCTCCATCGAGGGTGGAGGTGCTACTAAAAAGCGCATTCTGCTGTCCTTCAGATAATTATCTGACGGTTCTCCCATTGGAAACCCTATAGGAGGATGTGAGGTTTCCACTGGTTCGGCAAGGAGATATGGGTGGATTTGTGGGTCCACTGGTGTCCCACTGGGTATTTCAAGAGGACGTTCTATTGCCGGATAATAGGAAAGTACTTCGCTGTTATCTGGCTGGACTCTAGGATTAACAATCATTATGGACGACTCTTCAGGATTCTCATGAATTTGGGGAATTACGGTGCAAACACTCTGTGTGTCTTGATGGATGTCCACCTCTTTTACAAAGATTGGGAGTCCGTTGTTATACACCGGCACTAATTCATATATTGGCGGAATGGGCTCCTCAAAAAGTGCATCGGTTTCTCCTCTCACGTCCTCCTCGCTAGTCACGCACTCTTTCTCAAACCAGTCGGGATTCTTCATTTGGTGCACCTGGAAGGCTTCGATCGCATTCCTCAACGCTTCGCCCGAGGGGCATTTGAAGTACTCTTCCTTTCCAATACCCTCGATACAGTGCACCGTCCCTTGCTGATACTTCTCCACATCCAGGATACGGAAGTAAAGCTCCTCGAAATGCTTCATCAGCTTGTATTTGACCGCAATGTCAAACAAAGACGGCACATCGCCTTCACTGCATACATCTTCAAAGTAAGCCACCAAATACGTCCCGTAGGAAGCCGGACGCTGCATATCAGGTGTAATCAGCTGAAGGGCGAGAGTCAGCATATCACCGATCGGAGAGAGCACATCCTCCCGGAGGAGGACTCGAGGCTCTCCGCAGATCGCCCCCCACTTGGCTTGCACTCCTCGGGAGCAGAGGACCAAGATCTTGTTTGACGTCTGCTCGATGTGTCGCTTTTTTTGCTCAATCCACTGCAGCCGGCCAATGGTGCCAAGCCAAGTCACGTCAAGTAGGTCCAACACAACCTCAGTGCCGCATTTAGCCCGCAGGAAGGCGCAAAGCTTCAGCACTATGTCTGTGTAAAGAGGGTGATCTCTGGAGTAGATGATCAATATGGATCGTGGGCCGGGTAGAACGGGCGGTTCTAGAGGTGTTTCTTCCAGTGGCTGTTCTGCACCTGAATTAAAATACATTTTGAAAATTAGAAACACAGATAATCCTTGAAAATGATCATTTACTGCATATAAGATGTATTGTTTCAGTCCTCCTAGCACTGCTTATGTGGCTAACCACAGGAAGTTACTCTGCAAAGATATCACTGCCAGTGTTGTGACACACATGATAAACATCACAGTCTTTAAAGATAAAAATAGCCATCTTAAATGTCACTGCTTACCTTTCGGTGGTTTCCTGCAGCGCAAATAAGTGGCAAAAACACCAATGCCACAAATTAGGAGGCATAATCCGACACAAATAATCCAAAATCCTGAGTTGTTCTCAGGAGGGCTTGTTGGTACTAAGGAACATATATAAAAATGAGTAAAGTGGCATTATGCGTTTTACTGTATTTTTTCTTACTAGTTCAAAAAGTGAAATCGTTCCATACACACCAGGGACACATATGTTGCAACTATGGTTTATTCGACGACAGTCGTTGGCACACTTCCGAAAATATGGCTGGATCTAAATAGGAAAAGAGCACTATTTATATCAAGATCCTTGTATATAAGAATTATATAACTTCATTCATTCATTTAGTGCACGTTTAGGCCTACACACCTGAACATCGAAATTGCAGCATGTACGTGGCCAGTTCTCCAGGCCATATGTCACATTTAGTAAAGTCTTGCTCTCCTAAAAGAGTAAAATTATTCATCCTTGTTCTTTTAGATATATTTAAATATACATATATAAAGCATGTCTTACATTATAAAGAGTCTTTGTTACGCGGTCCTTACTGCACTTCACAAAAACGTTGTATTTGTCTGCATTCTCTCCAGGATTAAACGCAACATACAGAATATCCTTGCCATTTAGACCTGTAGTCCTCCCCACAGTAATATTGGGTTGCCATGTATCCCCTAAGAGAAACATCTCATATGTTTAGATGTGCACGTATACTTTAATACTGAACTAAGGTGGTTTATATGTGTATATCTATTTGATTAAGGTAAACCAGTTATAAATAAGTTCTTCTCACCTTTCTCAAAACAGATTTTGGTCGTTCGCATCAAAGGATCCTCACAACCTGTGGTTATAGATTGAAACTGAATATTGTCACATGACAGACAAGAACCAGGAACAAGAAACAAAACCCAAACCGTGACAAATATAAACTGTAATGTAGATTTAAGCAAGGAATTTTGATTAATTTAGCACTTACCTGGAACATCAACTGTTCGGTTAACATTGTAACTAGTGTGTTGTAAATTTGGCTTGGGAAGGTTGGAGACAGTCACTATATATTTACTGCCTGGATCTACCACAACTTTATCCAGAGAAAAGGACCACTAAAATAGAATAGATAATATATCAGTATCTGTGGAAAAATAATAATAATTCAATCAATCGATCAATCATCTTGCCTTTTCACCAGCATCATTTCTCATGGTCTTAAATTCCTGCAGGAAATTGAAATGAACACACAGACGTTCATTGGTGGATGATTTCATCACACTAAGCTCTGTTCCTCTCAAATGGTTTATGCTTCCTGCAAGCAAAGAAAAGAAAAAAGAGATTAATAAACTTGACGACTACAATCTATAAATGCCTTCTGAAAAGGCAAAATGAAAATAAAGATCCTTTTTAAAACTATGAAATATGGCTGTTCAAAAATATTATAACACTTTACAATAAGGTTCCATTTATTAAGATTACTAACATTAGGTAACATTAACTAACAAAGAACATTTAGTTCAACATATATTAAGTTCAACATTTATAAATATGTTATTAAAATAAATGTTTTATCTATTAACATTTTTCATGGACCTGAACTAACAATGAACAGTTGTATTTTTATTAACTAAAATGACCAAAGATTAATAAATGCTGTAACAAATGCATTGTTAATTAATGTTAGTTAATGTATTAAGGTATGATGGAACCTTATTGTAAAGTTTTAGCTTTATCATAGTTTTAAATAAACTAAAATATAGGCTTAAACATTCAATTTAAGTGTCCCTTTGCTACAAACTGGTTGCAAGGAATTGGAATGGATTTCTCCATATTCACATAATGTAACAAACATGTCTAATGATAATCTAATCTAATCTGAATACTCACGACACCGCCTACAACAAGTGACCCACCGTCATCCTTTGCTTTCCATTTAGCCACAATCACTGGCTCCCAATCATCTTTCATATTTCTTCTCACATCAACATAAACTTTTAAATCATCAGGGCCGCTGGGAGTGAAATCTGAAGGAATGAGCCATCCTTTATACATGCAATTATCTGTGGGGGGGGGGGGGGGGGGGGGGGGGGGGGGGAATCATTAAAAGCATTAGTTAAAATATATATAACCCATAATAATAATAATAATAATAATAATAATAAAACATTTCCAATGAGAAGACTAAAGAAAAAAAGACAAGCACTTACTAAACTCTGCTTTACATTGTACTTTCTGGAGAGAGAAAGAGAAAGAAACAACAATGGATGACACAAATATGAGTCTAAAACTCCCAAAGAGCCAAATATCAGATGTCTAAATAAACATCATAGACTATTAAACATATACAAATAAATATACGCATAACGCTTATTATGGTATCTGGTGATCTTTTGGCATTATCTTACCTCTTGTGTACAGTTCAGAGAGAGCCCATTATCCATAAGTTTGAGATTCAGCACTACAGGTATGAAGGTGAAAAACACAACACCTTTCAGGTACAAGAAACTCATGATCCTACATAAACCTCGGTACAGCTGAATGGTTTAAGACAAGTTTTAATAGATTAAGTTCGTCTGAAAGAGAACGATAAACAAGGTGGCGTAGGTGCAGGAAACAGCCGACCTAAAAAAAACTTCCTGGAATCATTGTAATATGCAAAGCAACGTGACTCACATTTCGTGCTCTTTGGAAACGCGCGACGCGACGCTGCAAAACTGGAACAACCAATTAGCGAAGCTTATTTATGTTGCGTCGCGTCACGTAAGATGTACTGTGCAGTTCGCGTCTTGTGCGTCATTTTGTGATAGTTTGCAGCATTATTATTATGAACTATTATTGCGTCGAATAACAGAGACAAGACACAAAAATTACTCGAGGCCAAGCGAAAAAAGAAAAGAAAGAAAGAAAGAAAGAAAGAAAGAAAGAAAGAAAGAAAGAAAGAAAGAAAGAAAGAAAGAAAGAAAGAAAGAAAGAAAGAAAGAAAGAAAGAAAGAAAGAAAGAAAGGCAGATAATTAGTGCCAGCAGGCAAAACAGAAAGGATAAAAATTAGAAAACCGAAAACATGTAAAGAAACCATTAAAATAAATAAATAATCAATAAAGTAAAGGTATACTTAAAAGTAGGCCTAGACCTATATAAAAACCTTTAAACAACACTGGAGTGTTTTGGATAAATGTTAACGCCAAACGTTATCTTAAAACACTTTTAGCACTTAATTTATCATGTAATATTATTAATACAATATTGGCAGCACATTTTAACACATTTTTCTATTTAAAATTTGTATTGTTTGCATCATTTATTCAACAGTTACAGTTATTTTTTATATCGTTAATGAACATTTATTTTGGTGTTGTTACGTTAATAAGCATATATTTAAAATAATTTCATACTGAATTCCATTTCACTTTCTTTCTCTCAAACAATCTTTCCCTATCCACATGAGGGCGCTACTTCACCACTGTATATTGTAGTGCACTGTAAATTATATTGCACATGCGCACTGTATATTGTATGTGTTGGTAGATCTTTTAAAAATGTTTAGTGTCTAGTTTTCCTATTTAAATACAAGAAAATAAAAATAAGCTCATATATATATAAATATATATTAATAGCCTAGATGTCAATTCTGATAAATAAAGTAATAGGGAAAAGCATATTTAAGAAATATTATTGCATAAAGTGCATTATAATGTACCTAATTTCAAATGCCACACCAAATAAATCTGATTTACTAAAAAGATGCGTTGACATTCTCCTACATGTTCTTGGTGACTCTTTATGTTCCATTCAAACACATATTAACAAATTATTCCAAAAGCTTTTTGAATATTTCACACGGAACAAAAAAATCTTCAAATTTTTAGACCTCAAACCTACTGCTGAAGAGAAATGAACTGAAACAGAAGAGATGAGGATAGAGCATCTTCTCAGTCCCAGTGTCTGTCTCTGTACTGCCTATGAGGGTCAAACAACACACTGTCCCAGTATGAAAATCACAGAATGAGGGCTACCCACACCTAGCCCAGGTGCGCACACTCCTGCTTTCACAGACTGGCCGGAGATTAGAGGAATCTACGGCGCTAACATGTTGCATCTTGGGATTTGAAGGGAATTGTTTGGACACTTCCATGCAAGCTCCAATAAGTTTGACAAAAATGACTCTTATTAAAAAAAATACTGTCTTTCATCTCATCCATCATACCAGCACCTTACAAGTTACAATCAAACTTTTGTGATACCATAGTCTCATGTAGTAATCTTGTACTGATTTATCACTAAATTACTCTGACTGAACTTTAACTCACTTAAGCGTTATAATGTTTTTAGAATATCAAATAATCTCAGACTTTCCTTACGTCCAGTATTTTTTCAGTTTTATGACGGCTAGGTATGCAGAAACTGCACTTAAAAAAACAATCAGGTTAAAACATGTCACATTTATCAGTTCTCTGTGATGAGATCACCGGTTTTAGTTAGAGACCCATGAACTGTTAGCTGAATACTGAAGAAACCAATAAAATGTCTGATTAGGGCTGACAAGACTGTGCTTTGATTGAATGAGTCTTATATACAACAACACGGCATATATGCCAAGCTGGTCTGAAAATGGAGCTAAGAAATGTCACACACTGGTAAAATCCTTTACTTATAAGTCTGATTTAAAAAAAAAAAAAAATTGATTATAGTTGGGGTCAAAGGCAATTTGGAAAATTACACCACTAGAAAATATAATACGACCAATGACTCATTTCTTTCCAGCCGTATGTGTCAAAAGGGTCTTAACCGTAACCATGAGAGTAGTGCTTTGGTCATGACACACTTTATCCACAATTAAACCGACAGCTGAGAATACACATCAATGCTGAGCTATATAGACCATGAAAACTAAAGAAATCCAAGAAAACCCCACAAATAACTGCAAGTACATTTCTAGCTCAGGCCGCAATCTTGAAAGTAAAGCTTCCAAAATGGGGTTTTCGTTGCTGCCTTCAATTTTTAAGTACAATCAACTTGGACGTTTAAGTTATTTCAACTTAAATTACATTAAACTGACTTAGTGAACAGTACTTAAAAGAACCATTTTCTTCTTAGTGTGAAGAACATTTGAATAATATGAAGAAATGTTTTCCATGACTGATGCATGGATGTCAAAGGTTCTTCATGTAACCATGTATTGGCAAAAGCCAATGTTTGTAAGAGTAGGTTGAAGAGTATACTCTTGTATTATAAGATGTACTAAGAGTATAATGAACTAATACATTGCACAAATACATATGCTAACATACTGGAGGTGAATCTTCTGAAATAGACACAAATATGCCTAGGAAAAAAAATGCTAAAAATCATCTCTTCATGATAAGTTCCCCCGTAAGCATTTACCAGACAAGGTGGAAGTTGTCAGGATCAGAGAAGTTGTTCGCTAATGCCAGAAGTGCACTTAGGATGTCACTGGCATTCAGATAAAATGGAAGTCGGCCATACACGTTCTTTCTAAGTGCCCTTAAGTGTTCAAAACACTGCCAACAGTGATTTTACCTCTCAAAAGTGTAGATGAAGTATGAAAAATATAACTACTGATCACTTTGAAATGAATATGCCTTGATTTCATTTATCAAAGATAATGCTATCATGTGTGATATATTTGATGAATGCTAGGAGGAGCTGATTAATAACATAACCTAAATCAGTAGTTTAAATCTGTGTCTGTATGTTAGTACAGTACTTTAAAAAGGAGAGTATAAACAGCCCACAGATACACATACAATGGTCCAAACAGTTGGACACTTATTAAGCCACACTTTCAAAACCAGTACTGAACGCTCACTTGCAGGACAGACAAAGCCATTGTCACTTGTGTGACACTTGTGTCACACGAATGACATACCAAGTAACATACTTGATTTATTTTAGAGCCAATGGTTCATTTCAAAATTCGAGTTTTCCCTTCATTTACTTTGCTCGGTTCTTTGGAATACTTAATTCTGATTGGTCCAGGGGTTGGACTCGGAAACCGAAGAGATAATCACAGGCACGTGACAATAGCTAAACAGGTGTATATTTAATTTAAATAAAGTTCCTCCAACTTGCATACGGACGAGCATTTTGATGTAATCATTCCTTGTAGTCACACAGCCTGTTTTATTAACTTAGGTACTGTAAATAGTATTAAAGTTAGAGATTTTAACCTGCGCTAGCGCATAGATCCGACAAACCAGGCTGCATCCGTTGAAGGCCGCATTCGAAGGCCGAATGAGTCACCGCTGCGCGACGAAGGCTGTCCCAATTCGAAGGCTCCTTCAAATGCAGCCTTGAAATGCATCCTCCGTGTCCCGTGAAATGAAGGATACAACATTGCAAAACTGACGCCATTCTGTGTCTCAGTTATTATCGATGTAAGTGAATGACCATCAGACAATTTCAGTATTAATATTACTGTAATGTTGTTGCATTTTACGTCCTGTCGCTTGGCTGATTGTTTTGTACATTAAAGCGGACTATTATTTTCTTAGCGGAAGCTTTAAGTTAATTTACAGGCAAATCTTTCATTTAAACTCAAATCAATGTCATTTCCAAGTTTGTATTTATTTGGTGATTAGCTGTGTAACTGTCACAGATACATGATCTCACAATTACAGCTATCTTGTGCGTAAAAAGAGATGAAGACATGAGGAATGAGGACTATTACATAAATGATTTGTTCTCCTGCGCATTTACAAGGAAGGAGGAACATTTGTAACAGGAACAAACCAAAGCTTTGAGGAGCCAAAACCAGTCTCCAGATTTCTTTCAGTAAATACCATTATGCAACCAGACATATTTCACATATTTGTTTAATCCAAGATAAAAACAAATATAGACCAATTATCAGATTCAAATTCTTATTCAATTCACAACATAAAATTGTCTGTTGTTTCATTAATGTGTAGTACCAAAATAACTGACGCTCAGGTATAACATCAGCTATTATTTCTTGCTATTATTTTCGCCTGGAATGGAACATAATATTTTTTTGATGGGTGTGATTGGTTTGCTATAATCTCTGCACTGTTGCCTCGCTATGCTCGGGGCCTGGAGAAGAATGGAGTCCCACAAGGTCTCCTGAAAGTAAACTTTGTGTCCTGAAGGAGACTTGGCAGGAATGGCAGAATTGGATAGGACTGCTCACACTTTAGCTCCAATAACTCTTTGGCCCTTCAACACACTTACATAACCCATCTTACATGTTTGGTTTATCTAAACTCCTTTTCCTTCATGGAGTTATTTAGGAGACAAAAATCAACAACATCCCAGTTCCTCCACCAATGGCCTTCAGTGAAGCCTCAGCTCAGATCTACAGGCTGCCTGTCTTTATTCTGTTACTCTCTGCTGCATTCCCAGCATACCTGAGCCGGGTTGCTGTAACGGGCCGGCGAGTGCCACTGCTCCTTATCTCAGCACACATACCTGCAGTCTGGATGTGTGGCTGTGGCAGTACGCTCCAGTTGCGACTGGCTATCTGCGCCATCTCTGTGCTTGGTTCCCGTCAGTGTGGTAGTTTAAACACAGCTGGTGGGGCAAGTCCAAGTTACCTTTAAACCTGAGTGGCATAAGATGTATGAGGGCTTTATGGTGCTAAC